CCCCCCCCCCCCCCTTCTGTCTTGGGCTATATATATAGTCTCCACCTCTGTCCTGGGCTATATATAGTCTCCACCTCTGTCCTGGGCTATATATAGTCTCCACCTCTGTCCTGGGCTATATATAGTCTCCTTCTCTGTCCTGCTCCAGCTATATCTAATCTGGAATAGTGCTTACTAGAAGGTAATGTGCTTACTAGATTGTGCTTACTAGAAGGCTATGTGCTTACTAGAAGGCTATGTGCTTACTAGAAGGCTATGTGCTTACTAGAAGGCAATTTTTCAACTGTTCAACGTCAGTCCTAAGTTCTCATGCTTTTGCTCTGAATTGTTTAATCCAGTTAAAATTGTCGGAGACAGCCACCCATCATTGAGAAAATAAGTGATTTCTCAGACTGGTGGTTCTCTTACACAGTGTCTGCATAATATCTAAACATATCATAAGGGGGAAAGTGAGATGTGGTCTTTTGTACAGGTAATTTTCTTGGACGAGTGGCTGTTAGAGTAGATTTGACTGTAGTTTTTCCTAAAATAACTGAGCATGGCAAACTTGTCCTTTGGAACCTATGATGAACTGCCATAAGCTGACTAAATACTTTTTTTCATTTTTAGCAACGATTTTTTTTCCTATGTTGAAAGCCAGATCAGTTACCGTACTTGTGTGAAACGATCAAAGCGAAATACTAGTGACTAGCTTTTGAATAAATTAGAATTCAAATTTCGGAAGAACGCCTTTTTAAAAAATGGTTACACTGACAAAGAGCCTCTTTATCTCGAAACTGCTGTGAATTGAAAAAAGTCGTTTCATCAGCTTAAGGCAGTATACCATACGCTGTTTTTCTTGCTTTGCCACTCGCTTTTCCTGCTGTACCGTACACTGTTTTCTTGTTTTACTGTACCGTACACTGTTTTCTTGTTTTACTGTACCGTACACTGTTTTCTTGTTTTACTGTACCGTACACTGTTTTCTTGTTTTACTGTACCGTACACCGTTTTCTTGTTTTACCATACACTGTTTTCTTGAATTACTGTACGGTACACTGTTTTCTTGTTTTACTGTACCGTACACTGTTTTCTTGTTTTACTGTACCGTACACTGTTTTCTTGTTTTACTGTACCGAACACTGTTTTCTTGTTTTACTGTACCGTACACTGTTTTCTTGTTTTACTGTACCGTACACTGTTTTCTTGTTTTACTGTACCGTACACTGTTTTCTTGTTTTACCATACACTGTTTTCTTGTTTTACTGTACACTGTTTTCTTGTTTTACCATACACTATTTTCTTGTTTTACTGTACCGTACACTGTTTTCTTGTTTTACCATACACTGTTTTCTTGTTTTACTGTACCGTACACTGTTTTCTTGTTTTACTGTACCGTACACTGTTTTCTTGTTTTACTGTACCGTACACTGTTTTCTTGTTTTACTGTACCGTACACTGTTTTCTTGTTTTACTGTACCGTACACTGTTTTCTTGTTTTACTGTACCGTACACTGTTTTCTTGTTTTACTGTACCGTACACTGTTTTCTTGTTTTACTGTACACTGTTTTCTTGTTTTACCGTACACTGTTTTCTTGTTTTACTGTACACTGTTTTCTTGTTTTACTGTACACTGTTTTCTTGTTTTACCGTACACTGTTTTCTTGTTTTACCGTACACTGTTTTCTTGTTTTACCGTACACTGTTTTCTTGTTTACCGTACACTGTTTTCTTGTTTTACCATACACTGTTTTCTTGTTTTACCATACACTGTTTTCTTGTTTTACCGTACACTGTTTTCTTGTTTTACCATACAGTCTTTCTTGTTTTACTGTTCACCGTTCAATGTTCTTTTTTTTGCAAGCTGGTATTACTTGAATTTAAACAACTTGTTCCCAAATTCAGGGTGGTTCGAAATGGACTCTGAAGCATCGACTCAGCTGTATGTGTCGGGGCTCCCCAGTGATGTGACGGAGGAGGAGTTTAAGGAAGTGATGAGCAAGTGTGGCCTCATCATGTTTGACCCGCTCACACGCAAACCCAAGCTCAAGCTCTATATGGACAAAGAGGGAAATCTGAAGGGAGACGGACTCTGCACCTACATTAAAGTAAGTCGCGTTCACTCAATGGAATCTCATCATTTTTCTCTTTCTGCTTCGTCAATAATATTTGGACAACGACAGTGACAACCACACTGACAATCTTTATTCATCTAGCTGAGAACAATTTGTTTCGGTCGTTTACAATGGCAGTGTATGTTACTTCGGTCTGGTGCACTCACACACAACAAGACAGGACAGTAGTAAATACATGTCTCATGTGCTGGGACAACCTGCTCCGTAAAACATGCTCTCTCTCTCTCTCTCTCTCTCTCTCTCT